TCTCTCTCTCTCCGGTACTAACCTGTGAAGGTGGCGCCTTGTTGCAGTTACATCAAAGACGAAGCTGGAGCTATGGCGCCACAGGTAAGTCTCCCTGGCCTCCGCCAACCATCACTCTCTCTCTCCAACGCTACTCTAGCTCCTAATAGCGCCCAGCGCGGAAGACTACTGCTAACGCTACTACTACTAATGCAGCGCTCCTCCAGAGTGCTGCTGCCGAATCCTGAGGACTGCCTCCTGCCTCCTGCACGTGAAGTGCCTGGGAAGTCCCTATGAACTACCTGCAGCCTGCAGGGCGGGCCAGTCTTACATAGTGCTGGCCCGTCCAAGAGGCTGCTCTTGCCAATGCCAAAACGTGCCAGACCCTGGCGTTGAAATTCAAACAAAGGTTGTCTTGAAAACAGGCCCAAAAAGGCCTGTGCTAAAACCCTGGTCTACTGCCTACGTTTCAGGGCAGGTCGATCTTACGAGGGCCTGAAAATTTGGCCTTCCGTTTCAGGCTGAAAAGACTCAGGGCCTGGAGGGCCCTTTTTATGCTGAAACGACACAGGGCCTGTAGGCCCTCGTTTTCAGGCTTTCAGGCTGAAACGACACAGGGCCTGTAGGCCCTTGATTTCAGGCTTTCAGGCTGAAACGACACAGGGCTTGTAGGGCCCTTATTTTCCGTCTGGTCGGGCCCTGCAGGCCCGTTTGGCTGCGCAGTATGCCACACCTGGTCACATCAACACTGTATCCAATGTCGCTCCTACTGTCTGGCGCTCAGCGCCCAGCCTACTCTACACAGCCTACGTTCAAGCGACAGGATCACACCGAAGTCGAAGACCAATGTACGTGACGTCAACACCAATGCCAACCACCAGCATACACCAGGTGCGTTCTCTCTCCTCTCGTCATCACCCCTTGTCTCCCCACATCATGCGCCTCCTACCCGAAGACCACCTTCGCCATTACCCGCCTGCGCCCCAGCTGCCCGGCTCTGGCTGCTGTGCGCCCGCTGCTCCAGCAGCGCCCTCTCTCACCTCTGCGCCCGTGCGTGCGTCCGACCCGCAACGCCCATGCAGACAGCGCAGCAGCGTGTCCGCATTGCCTGGGAAGGCCAGAATGCCTCTCCCAGGGCCTCACACTTTCCTTTATGGAAAGTGTGCCGCTGCTGGCTGTCCTGGCCAGGTGTGTGGGGGGGCCCAGTAGCTTCAGTTGGGCCCCAGGCGTCTGGGCACAGGCCCAGTTTCCGAAACTGGACTGGGCCTCGTGCAGTTAGGCACGTGCAGCATTCTCATTGGCTCGCGGCACATGTGTGACGACAATGCTGCTTCCTCATTGGCCCGTAAGCAGTCCGTGATGTGTCCGCCTCACACAGTGTGTGCCCAGGCCTCAACCACCTGAGCCCTGGGCTCAACTGTACAGCGCAGCCCTTTGTTTCTGGAAATAGCCTGGAGGCTCACGTTGCTCTGTAACCAACTGGCATGCTGCAACTGTCTGAGTACCCACATATGGAAAAATTGTCGAAAACAGGCCTCACGTGGTTATTCAGGCCCGCCTTCACTTAGGGCGGGCACGAGGCTTGCTGGGGGCCACAGTCCAGAACACTTGTATGTCTGATAAGGGCTCCGCGAGGCTCATTCCTCGCAATCTGATGCAGCTTCCTGGACTGATGCAGCTTCCTGGACGAAGGAAAACGCTCTTGCAATTGCAAGTTATGACCAGACTCGAGTTTTGAGAAACAAACTCTATGTGATGTCATACATGCCTTCAAAGATCGCAGGTCATGATGGCATGCATCCTCTGATGGACGGGTTTGAACTTTGAAGAAGTTAAGAGAGGATTGCTGCCTTCTGGCATGTAAGAGCCTCGGGCAGGAGGGGAGGACCCAGTAAACGTTACAGAGTTAAAGAAAGAAGAAGAAGAAGGCTACGCTGAAGAAGAAAGAGAAGAAGAAGAAGAAGAAGGGTACGCTGAAGAAGAAGAAGGCTACACTGAAGAAGAAGAAGAAGAAGAAGAAGGCTACGCTGAAGAAGGAAGAAGAAGAAGAAGGCTAAGCTGAAGAAGAAGGAAGAAGAAGAAGGCTACGCTGAAGAAGAAGGAAGAAGAAGAAGGCTACGCTGAAGAAGAAGGAAGAAGAAGAAGGCTACGCTGAAGAAGAAGAAGAAGAAGAAGGAGAAGAAGAAGAAGAAGAAGAAGAAGAAGAAGAAGAAGAAGAAGAAGAAGAAGAAAATGCAATAACCCGTTCGTTATGCCTCGTTGAATGTCTAAGTGGGGCCGACAGGCCGCGACCTCGGCCTCTGGCCGTGAGGTTCGAGGAGGCAAAAGACCCCTCCAAAATGGCCCAGGGCCTGAGCACCCGACAGTTGACTTCAGTCAACTGCCTGAGGCCCAACAGTCAAAGTCAATACGGACCCAGCCCAGGCCGCCGGTCAGACGCACACACTTGTTTGTATGCAGGTACCAAGACAGCATTCGGACCAAGTGGAAGTCTGCAACTGTATGCGATCCAGGCCCTCGGCTGTGAGTCAATCTGAGCCACTGTGAGTGGGAAGCCTGAGGCAGGTCAACTCGGTCTATCACTACATAAGACCCTGCCTCCAGGGAGTCAACATTCAATCTTGCTATGCCGACTTGACACCGGCTTGACGCTAGCTGGACTCTGGCTTGACGCTGGCTGTGTGCTGGCACTGTGGACAACGACGTGGGACTGAGGCAGCATGCTGGCACCTTCTCTGCTGAGCGCCAGCCTCTGCTGATATGCTGCATGCCACTTGTCTTCATTGCTGATGTGGCGCATGCCACCTGTCTTCATCGCTGATGTGGCATTGGCCACGCTGCCTACATTGGGTGACTGGACGCGACGAGGAGGGAGATCGGGATCCGTGGATGATTGAGGAGGATCGGGATACTTACCTGAGGATGATGCCGATACTGTGCGCTGTTGATTGTCTTCAACATCTTCGAGAGAGAACTGTGCCAAGTGGCACTTCGATGTGATCAGAACCTGTCAGACTCATTACTGGATACTGTTTGCTGACGTGGAGGCGAGGGGAAGCCCGTAGAAGGAGTGGGAAATGTTGGGCTACTCTCTTGGTGGTCATTGATGGTTATTATCTCTTCCACCCTCTAATCTGTCTATTCCCCCTCCACTCTCTTCGTCTACTGGTAACGAGACATTGTATCAGAGATCACATTCATGACTACTGGAGGCATTGTTCAGATCTGAGTTATCTTGTAATTCGACGTCTGGTGAGTATCTTACAGACTGGGTTGATTACAAAGAAGGCTACGCTGAAGCAGACGAAGAAGAAGAAGAAGAAGAAGAAGAAGAAGAAGAAGAAGGAGAAGGAGAAGAAGAAGAAGAAGGAGAAGAAGAAGAAGAAGAAGAAGAAGAAGAAGAAGAAGAAGAAGAAGAAGAGGAGGAAGAGGAAGGAGGTGCAGATTATGCACAAGGTCATCTGCACGTCCAGGTGCTTTCTAACACAGGCATTAGGCCCAGTAGTCTCAATGCAGTTGCATTTTCACTGATAATGTCTTTCATTTTAACCAAGTGGTCCCGACTCCCACCTGCACAACTTGCATGCAAACACATACCTCTGGTGTTCCCCTGACCCAGTTGTACACATGGTCGCAGACGGCATTGGCAGCAGAAAGAGCACTGGAAAATTTCCTCAATCGGATGACCTCTGCTCCACGCTGCTGAACAGTCTTGATGAAATCACCATTCAGCCTGCAATCGTTCACACGATATGGCCAGATTCAAAGTACCACCAGTAATAAAGGAAGCAGCATGAAGCCGTGCTTACACCACCCTACTACGTTCGGAGCTGACCTCCCAAGCCTGCATACTGATTTCTGCCAGTTCATTTCACGAGAAGGGAGGCATTCCCGGTTCTTTTTTTGTTTTTTCACCTTTTCATGAACAGGACCGTATGGGCCCGGTCCCATATCCAGTCGCATTCTTGGGAGTGTCAGTGTGGTTCCCATTGCTCTGGGAAGTCAAGGTCGTCAACTCAATATATCATTACAAAACTCGTACACTTTCCCACATTACGACCCACTGATCCTTGACAGCTTTTTTCCTTTTCTTTTTTCCCTTTTTTTTTCTGAAAAAATTGCCCCTTCTACTCTGGGGGGCTCAGTCCGGTTGCTCATCACCGGCAAGCATGTTTTTACATCTGAAAAGAAGAAGGGGGGAGAACAGACAAGACAGAGGACCAGCCTGTCCCTTGTGGCCCTAGACGCCTGGCAAGGGGGAACTGTTTTGGAGCAACCCTCCCCCCTATCCTTAGCCTTGCAGGGGGGTTGCCCTACTGGCCGGGAGGCTTACTGGCAGCACCCAGTCATGCAGTAGGGCATTCTTTTTTTTTTTCGCCCCCAAAACATTGCCCCTTAGATTCTGGGGGGCATCAGTCCAGTTGCTTATTACCGGCAAGCATGTTTCCACAAGAGCGAAGATTAAGAAGAAAAGAGAAGTAAGAAATAGACCAGCCCTACCCTTGTGGCACTAGCCGCCTAAGCAGGAGGGGCGGGGGGGTCTGCTACGGTATATCCACACGCCTCAAACCATGGCATTTCCTGGCAGGTTCGCCTGTTGGCTGGGAAGCTTACTGGCAGCACCCAGTCACCCAGCAGAGCAACGGGGGACCCAGGAGAGGCGGGTCGTGGATGGGGGGCCAACCCTAGCAGCCTCTCGGGCCACATATCTCATGTCTCCAGCCCATCCCGAAACCATCTCGTTATGCCTACGCCTTTTCTAAGGTGTTCCCATTCCATATCGGAGACCCTGTGTCCTTCCTTAGCATCGTCAATTCCCCAATCCCACTTCCTATGCATGTCATTCGGCACACTACTTCTGATCACTCCTCTGCCCCATGTATTCGAGCTAGATACATATCGCCTCCATATGTCAGTCTCCCAGATTCTAGCGCAAATGTCTACAGGTTTTCCTGAATCAGGCAAGTCTTCCCCAGCCTTACCTCTTGTCCCTTTTTTTTTCTTTTGTTCCACCTTTTTCCCGTCTTCAGACTAGTCAGCTTTCCATCGTTTCCCCCCTCCCTTTCCCCCCCCCGTTCGCCCTTTTGGGGTCCCTACTACCCTCCTATCCTATTCCCTTCCTCGAACTCCTTCCCAAGCCGCTCCCTTTTTCCTTTTTCTTTTTTTTTTTCGTTTTTTTTTTTAACCATACTTTCATTGCTTAATTGATGGAGCGGGGCCGGCCACCCCACATAAAGACCGGAACTGGGAGCATTATCTTGAGTTATGCTTTTGACAGGACCCAAAAAGGGACCTGAGAAAGATGGAAAGATAACCAGCTCTGCCCTAGCCTTGGTAATTTAAGCTAAAGTTGCTAAACCCCTAAACCCTCACTTCGCCTGTCCCTTCTACTTCCTTCTAAATTTCCTAGCTACTTTCTAGTAGTTTCTACCCCTCTTCTACCAAACAAGTCCTTACCTATTTAAATACTACCTACTACCTAGTCACTACCAGTCCTTTAAAGGCCATCCTTTTCTACTTTTCTCCTAATTATCTTACAAGTTTACAACTAACTACACTTTTCTTTGACCACTTCTCGATTTAGGCCTGTCATCCTTGAAAGCACAGTGGCAAGGATGTCCCGAAGGATGTCCCAAACAACCCTTACTACGCATGTCATCTCGATTTTATTGCATATCCCAAAGGATGTCCCAAAGTATCTTCTGTCTGTGTGTATGATTCCATTTTTTAATCACTAGTACACGGCCCCAGCCTTGCAGTCTGAAACTTGTTGCCACAAGAAAACGAGGCCGAAACGTCAAACGCTGCGCCTGCCGTTGATAAATTGGGTCGGCGGTGGCCTTTTCACTTTGCACTTCCAGAATTTGAGGTGTCAGGCCCACGGCTCAGGTGCCCATGTACTGGTGCTTTAAGCCTTTAACGGATGTCCCAAATGGTTAACAGGTACCCTCACTAAAATTGGGGGGTCGGTTAACCTTCTCTCCCCAAAGGACACATTGTAAACCTTCACTCTTTGCAAATAAGGGTTATTGGGTCGAACGGACTCTAACCCAAAAAGAATCTCCCAACCTGGGACTGCCATCTGTGAACTGGAATTCGATTCCCCCTTGTATGGGAATGGGTAGAAGACAAGCCAGGGGAACGAGGAAGAACTACCCCAAAAAGAATCTCCCTACAAGCTTACTTGGTACCATTAAACAAGGTTATTGACTTCTCCTCAAAACAAAATGAAGATGGGGCAAAAAGTAGAGCAGTCACTGGTTAGAGATTAATCAAATATTAAAAAAATCCGATGGCGAAAGTACAAATATATAAACTTATTAGAAAGTGAGTTAAAATCAGAAGCCTCCGATTGCTCATTGCATACGCTGCTCTCGGAGTGAATCAACGGCTACACAGAAGGAGTGAATACAACCCAAACGGTACAGAGACATATGTGCCATATGTTCAGACCACGAACCAGAGGACATCTACCATTGCCTAATTGGATGCAAACAAGCCACAGAATATACTGGCCATGCGCGAGCGAACTCTGGTCCCGTATACTCACCTGCCCTTTTCATAAACAACCAATCCAACTTCTTCTCTGGACAAACTCACCCTCCCATTCGCAGACGCCTGAAAGACTGTGGTATGGCTGAGTTAAGAAAGTGACCCTATGGGGTGATCTGGAAAGATAGATGCATGCAGCATCACGCTGGATCACGCGAGGAATGCAAGAGAAAAGGTCTGCGGGCTCACCAAAGCGCTGATAGAAACGGAGAGGAGATGCGGATGGAGGCAAATGAAGACAGAGACAGTGATCCAGCAACAAGCTGAAAGGGAGCAGGACTTAATAAGCAAGTTCACCCAGAACCAGTTGGTCCGAGGCAGAGGCAGAGTAGCCACATTCTCTGCTGCGCAATTAAGGTGGAAGGAGTGGCACAACTCAGAAAGTGAGTTGAGTCAACAGAATCCTCGATGCTCAGGAAACCAGGAAGCCTCTGGCATTTCACTTTCATGAAGATCTTATAGATGACTAAGACTATCGACAGGCTTGTGACGAAAGGCTTTACTCTGGTGACCCTATCAGGCTAAGGTGGGCTTATCAAGCAGATACAACAGAATATAGACTGAGGAAGAAGTGCAACAGTTTTATAAGTTCATGTGTTCAAGCCTCTGTTAAATAATAATAATAATAATAAAAATATGAATAAATAAATAAAAAAGAAAAGAAAAGAAAAGAAAAGAGAGAAGGCAGGCGAAAATCATTCACACAAACAGAATCATTAGTTTGTTTTGGACATAGGACGACATAGTCAGCAATCGGTATCGGCAAATAAACGACAAACAGGACTGTTTTTGGCATGTTTCTGAATGGGGGACTACCGTCTACACCCGAATAGAATGACTGGTAATTATCTTTGTATCTAGACTGAAAGTAGCCTCAAATACAGCCATAACGACCGGGCATTCTATTCGGGTGAAGACGATAGTAGTTTTTGGGAGGGTTTGCAAAAGTGTGGGCCACACTGACAGTCAATCCTTCCTGGCAGAAGCAATCAATGCCATCAGGGTTCCCCAGGCCGTAATGTGGGGAAGGGTTAGGAGTGGGTTCTATCTAAGGGAGAGATCCCACTGGCAAAGAGGATTGGAAGAAGTGTCAGAATGTGGACGTGTTTGTGGACAGATGCGAAAACTTGTGATTGATGTACTTTTCTGCCTGTCGGATCTGGCCCTAAATTTTAGGACACGCCCAGATTCAGACACTTCTTCCAATCCTCTTTGCCTGTGGGATCTGGCCCTAAATTTTAGGACGCTGGACCCAGTTTCCAGCAGCTGCTGCTCCCCACCAATAGAAAGGAGCTTGGTGTTAAAAAAAAAAAAAAAAAAAAAAGGTGAAGCGACAATCTCCGATAAACCGGGTGTACACCCGTGAAGCTGTTGAAATACATACCCAAGTTCAAATCCAGATGCAATCAAGATGAAGATAAAATCATTCAGAATTGCCTAGCGCCAGTCCGTTCAATGACGATATCTCAAGGTCGTCGCCCTTTTCTTAAAAATGAATAAATAAATAAAAAGGATATACCGGGTGAAAGACTATGGCAGTAATTAAATATATTCTCTGTTTGAGGATATATATATCGTCAAACAGAGCTGCCCAGTAAACTGTAGGCAGAGACGGAGAAGAGGACAACAAACGAGGGGCTGTGACAAACTGTTTCGTTGGAGTTTCACCGAATATGTATATATATAGTCAAACAGAGCTGCCCGGTAAACCGTAGGCAGAGAGGCAGAAGAGGACAACTAACGAGGGGCTGTGGCAAACTGTTTCGTCGGAGTTTCACCGACTCATCAGGAGGCTGAACCCTCAACAGTCTGCAGAATCCCCTCACTGATTACAATGTAAGTCTGTAAGTGATAATCCACCTTAACCCCGGCCGTGTATATATATATATATATATATATATCGTCACAAATAGAACTGCCCGGTAAACCGTAGGCAGAGAGAGAGAAGAGGACAACAAACGAGGGGCTGTGACAAACTGTTTCGTC